TCCACCACCACTACCGAGATATTAGTAAAACTAATATTTATATAAGATTTAGCATGCTATAATTACCACGAATATTATTTTTAAATATTAAACTAAACAAATACAGTAGATCATTTATATTGATTTTTAAATAATATTTTAATAACATGTACGCCAGATATTATTAAAATATATTTATATTACTATTTTAAAGTAATTAAAGATTTTTAAGTAAATTTTTTTATCTAAATTTATCAAATTTTAAAATAAATATTTATATTTGTAAACATTATTTTTAAAAATCAGTTCTATTACTTTAACTAAGATTTAAAAACCTAATTGAGTTTTTATGTAAATAAATGGGTCTTGTTTACTTAATGTTTTAGCAATATACTTTAGTAATAAACAGAAATATTTGAGTACAGATTGAGTTTACAATAAAAACTGTTTGATTACAGTAATGTGCAAATTGTTTACATTTATTGTTAGATTTTTATTAAATGATGCATTTTATTTAATATTATAATATTTAAAATTTACATATAATATAATGATACAAATAATATAAAATATAGTAATTTAAGTAAGTATTATTAAGCACTGGCCTTATAATATATATATATCAAGGCAGGCATAACTATTATATAACTACTGTATAAATTATTATAAAGAATATTCTGTTTTATAAATTGTAGTTAAACAAGGTAATCACTTGGTGGGACAGGNTATATCAAGGCAGGCATAACTATTATATAACTACTGTATAAATTATTATAAAGAATATTCTGTTTTATAAATTGTAGTTAAACAAGGTAATCACTTGGTGGGACAGGGGTGAGCTGGGATTTAGCTACTTTGCAATCTTTAGCAAATGCAACTGCGAGTACAGTAATGGACATGTTTATCAAGAATCCCGCATAAAAACTGATTCATTGAGCGCTGAGTATAGACTGGACATTAAAGCTAGGACGTTTATGATGGCATAGGTTATGGTGAGTTCATAGTGTTCGTAATACGCGCCAAACATACCGGTGCAGCATAGGATACCACTCGCCACACAGCTTATTGCTACCACACCCATTAGACCGGACTATGTGACCAGGATACGTATTTAATAATAGTAATTTATATTCATATTGGCTTTTATCTATGCTTACATTAGGCTCAGCAACATTTTGCTTTATCATTTTGATAGCTACCAGCATAATGACCAGTGAACCAATTACTTGCATCAAGCTCATGGCAAACAAGGTCCATTTTCTACATTGAAATCTACTGCTGTGACGGATATCCATAATATTATATTATAGTTATTGATCTCTATAAACAATATAATGATTTACTATAAAAATATTAAATAAAGTTTTATATTAGAAATAGTACTTAAAATTTGTAGTGATAGTTTTACTGTGAAAACAAATTAGTCACAAACAGTAACTGATTGTAAGTGATTTTAGATAAATCACTAGCATATAAAAATATTAAATAAAGTTTTATATTAGAAATAGTACTTAAAATTTGTAGTGATAGTTTTACTGTGAAAACAAATTAGTCACAAACAGTAACTGATTGTAAGTGATTTTAGATAAATCACTAGCTTTTGATATAAAATGAAATAATATTAATATTTTATATATTATATTACTTTAATACCTTTGAATACTAAATACCTTTATAGTGCGTAAGAATACTCATAATGTCATTTAAAGTATAATCAAATTTCATAATTTATATGTAAATTAAGTGTAATTTCGTTAATTTGTGAATGTGTTTGTGGGGATATCAGATTTATTTTTTTGTGATCAAATAATAGTGGATATAAAGTAGTGATTAAATAACTAAATGCAATACACTAATATTTCATATAAATTATTTTTCAGAGTATTTTCATTTAACCATAGTATTGCTTTACTAAAATTAGTAACACTATATTAAATTTTATAATTTAAATTAAATAGATTGTATACATCACATTTTAAATATTTTATTAATGGATACCTTTTATTTAAAATCAATGTAAGAATAATCTAAAATATAGAAATTTAAAACTAATACTATTTAATATGCAACTCAAATATATTAATAAAAGCATAATAAAATAAATACATGTTTGCAATATAATTAAATGCAAGCAATTGATATTCATATTCACACCAATACTAATGCTTATCAATGCTATTATTAATTGTAATTTAAACTCAAATATATTAATAAAAGCATAATAAAATAAATACATGTTTGCATTATAAATAAATGCAAGCAATTGATATTCATATTCACACCAATACTAATGCTTATCAATGCTATTATTAATTGTAATTTTTCAACAAATTATTACAGAAAAGCAATCGTATAATCAATTATAATTATAATATTTTTCGTGTTATAATGGAATTCTTGTTAATATACTGTTTATTAATTACTTCATTATATAAATTAATTATATATACAATAAAGTACTGTACAATTCTAAACCTGTAATATTAAAGAATATTAATATGTGCCATAAATTATAATATTAATAAGCAAGTAGCATATTGAACTGATTGGACAATGAATTAACTCTATATTCTACGCAAAGAATTATTGTTAATAATTTATTCATGGATATTGAGTTATACAGGGTACTGTTCGAGTTCAACAGTGGTAGTGGCACGTTGAGATTTTACCTTTCTGCAATCATTTGCAAATGAAAATGCCAGTAAACTAATCGATAAGCTTATTATGAATGCCACAATAGAAGCTCGCTCATTTATTGCTGAGTATATGTTTGATATTGCTGAGATAAAGCTTAATATTGTGTATAGGCCACTGAGTACGCCATATGTGATGGTAAGCCCAAAGTGCTCATTATAAGCACCAAATGTACCAGTTGCACATAAACCAGCCAAACATATTAAGAATATGACAACTGCTATACCATCCTATATGACCAGTGTACGTTTAAATAGCAATAATTACTATTTAGGTTATATTCAATAATTGAAGATTTAATTTTTATCTATTCTTACGGTAGATTTATCACCATTTCTTGTTATCCATACGGTAACCATTAATATCAAAATTACTTGAAGAAAGCTCACGATAAACAAGGTCCATTTTTTGCATTGAAATCCAGTACTATGACGAATATCCATTAGAATTATTGGATAACTATTAGAAAAACAATTTGTTAATAAGAATATAAAACAGCAAATTCTAATTCATTATAATTTATACTACCTACAAAATATATAAACTAATTTAATTTTGTAATACCAATTAATGCAATGAAAGTTACACAGTTAAAAGTAAACTGGTCACACCCAAACAAATTGTAAGTAAAATCTCAATTAATATATAATTTATATGTAAATGCTATCATTTATGAACATGTTTGCTATTACTGAGATATTAGATTTTTATGAAATAATATTATAAAAGGATAAATAAAATAATTTTAATTTTACGGAAATGTAGTTTCCTTAGGAGAGTTTCCTTTGCCAAGTGATATAAATTATATGATATAATTATTTACAAATAAGGTAATTAAATAATAATTTATGGTAACCTAATAATGAAATAATATAATGAAACTGAACATTATTTTATTTAAATTCTTTTTTTTATTTGTTTTATTAAAATTGGCAATGCAGTTTACATAATATATGATATAAAGTAAATTGTATTATAAAAATTTTTGAATTATTGTTTGTTAAAATTATATTAAATTATGTATATAAATTATATATTCAATATATATATATATACAATACAGTACTGTACAATTCTAAAAAAGTAATATTAAAGAATAGTTAATATGTGCCATAAATTATAATATTAATAAGCAAGTATCATATTAAACTGATTGGACAATGCATTAACTCTATATTCTATTGTTAATAATGTATTCATGGATATTGAGTTATACAGGGTATTGTCCGAGTTCAACAGAGGTGGTGGCACGTTGAGATTTTACCTTTCTGCAATCATCTGCAAATGAAAATGCCAGTAAACTAATCGATAAGCTTATTATGAATTCCACAATAGTAACTGGCTCATTTATTGCTGAGTCTATGTTTGATATTGCATCTCAAAAGCTTAATATTGCTGATAGGAAACTAACTATGCCATAGGTTATGGTGAGTCCATTGTGCTCATTATAAGCACCAAATGTACCAGTTGAACACAAACCAGAGTTTAGCAGACACGCTACCAATAAGACAATTTGTATACCAATCTATATATGACCAGTGTTAATTTAAATAACAATAATTATATTTAAAGTTATATTCCGTAATTGTGGGTTTTATTTATATGTATGATCACGTGTGATTTATCACTTGTTTTTGTTATCCATACCATAACCCAGATCATGACTAATGGCAAAATTACATGAAGCAAGCTCACGGTAAACAAGGTCCATCTTTTGCATAGAAATCCAGTACTATGACGTATAGCCATTAGAATTATTAAATAACTATTAGGAAAACAATGTGTTAATTAGTGTGACCAACTCAAGTTTCGTAATTAATGGACATTTTGATAAAATAACTGAATAGAGGACAAATAGTGGACAACATATTTTATAGTGGAATTGAATTACAATTTTTTTGAAAATATTTTTTATGTTGATCAAACAGCAGAAATTTTTGACTAATTTTGTCATTAGTTTGTTACATATTTTCATATTAATTTGCTGCACTTAAATGAAATTTAGTTAAATGATAATGTATTTTATTATGATTATAATGTGATATGCAATTTACATAGGATTTTTATGTTGCAATTAATTTTCTAAATAAGACATTTTATAATTTTCACAAATAAATGACATTCAATGTCCACTATTTCTCATTTAAAGCACAGAGGACAGACACCCTAATATTTTTAATACTTTTTAATTAACAAGTTTCGGATTTGGCCATGGGCATTTTCGCTAACACTAATTACAGGGATACTTTGGTAGACTTTCCGCACCTGATGCCCGATCCATCCATACTAACTGTCATTAGTTCACCGAAATATTACGCAAACAACGAGTTGTTTAAAATATTTAATACATTTAAACTCGAGGTGTGGGCAATGATTGGCATTATTTTCGTAGCAATTATTGGCATAAATGGTCTGGAAACATGTCTTGATTATTTTAGTCTACTTTTAGGCAAAGGTATTATAAATAAATAAAATTAAATATTATAAAATTATCTAATTGTATAATTAAATAAACTGGTGCACATACTAAGGGATTCCTATCAGAGATAATCACAATAAATGTTTGGTCGGTGTCTGGGCATTGGGTTCACTAATACTCATAAACTATTTCGGAAGCGATTTACAGGCACTGGAGGTATCGGAACAGACACTCAAAATAGAGTCCATTCAGCAGTTGATTGATAGACAAGACATCGATGTAATTGTTATTAAGAACACCATTAATGATAGGCTTCTTAAAGAGGTATTTTGATATAACTGGAGGTATCGGAACAGACACTCAAAATAGAGTCCATTCAGCAGTTGATTGATAGACAAGACATCGATGTAATTGTTATTAAGAACACCATTAATGATAGGCTTCTTAAAGAGGTATTTTGATATACAGTATATTAACAAAAATTACTAAACCAGCTAGTTTATATAATATATAATTGAATTAATGTATAATATTATATGATTTTTAATTAGCGCCACAAAGAGTTTATACATCTCATACAGTATGTCGAGCGTCAGGAGACTTACCGATTGAGTACTATATTGAAAGTTATTGAACGAAATGTGGTGTTAATTGTTTCAAAGGTTTGCTTCAATTCATTAGTCAAATATTACTCAAACTATGATTTGGTGGCATCGAGTGATACACAGGATATGTATTTGTATGGCAGTCCTATGCGACGGACTGTGTCCCAAGAATTTAAGATACAATTCAGAAAAATGTTTGTAATTTTTGAAAATTATTTTTTAATAGTTTTTGAATTTATATATACAGTATATATTATAAAAATATTTTTTAATGTTTTCAGTTTGAAGTGTCTATACGAGTCAGGCATTGAAAATGATAAATCATCGGAAATTGTGATTGATAGCTTATATACGGATTATATGGTGCATAATATTAGTGACACTACTAAACATGATTAGTCAAATATTACTCAAACTATGATTTGGTGGCATCGAGTGATAAACAGGATATGTATTTGTATGGCATTCCTATGCGACAGACTGTGTCCCAAGAATTTAAGATACAATTCAGAAAAATGTTTGTAATTTTTGAAAATTATTTTTTAATAGTTTTTGAATTTATATATACAGTATATATTATAAAAATATTGTTTAATGTTTTCAGTTTGAAGTGTCTATACGAGTCAGGCATTGAAAATAATAAATCATCGGAAATTGTGATTGATAGCTTATATAGGGATTATATGGTGCATAATATTAGTGGCACTACTATACATGATTATAATGGAAATGATTTTAAAACCAAGAATTTTGCATTAAATGTGAAACAATTGTTCATATCGTTTGTAATATTGATTTTTGGTTTTATTTTATCTTTAATATCAATTATTTTTGAAATTGTATCATTCATTATAAATATTAAACTACTTATGTAAAATTTTAATAATTAAATCGTTACGATTAAAATTAATTTTATGAATATTAAAATTTTTCCAAATACTTATTAGTTTAATTGACCATAAGCTTGAAATCGGATTGCCTTTTTTAGTATACAGTTTTAAGGGAATATAATTATATGTATTTATTTAATTAAATAAAAGTTTTTTAAAAATAAATTTTAAATTTCAAAATAAGCACTGTACTCAAATAATTTGCGCGATGAATCCATTGATAGTATGATGTACAAATATAATACAGTAGTGCAGTTCTGTATTATGAAATATAAAATTTATGTTCAATGCTACAGTATTTTTAATTTGTTATGAGATTTAAAATCATGTAATTTATGAATTGAGTTTATTAGATAAACAT